AACATGTACTTGTAGAGAGATATTTTAAAGTGGAAGCCGTACGGCTTCAATAAAGTTTTTATTGTGTAAATATAAAACGTTGTTTTTAATTAGTTATTATGATTTAAAAAAAAAACTATCACAATATTGTGTCAGTAGTATTATACTTGGTCAAAACATGTCGTTATTCGTAATCTGTAATGGATTCTCAGTTTATTCGAGTAGTTAGCAAAGTGGTTAGCGTGCTTGACTGTCGGTCTGACGTTCCGTTGTTCAAGCCTCGTCACCATACACAGTAAAAAAAAAATACCCCCGCATTTTGGGGCTGTGGGTGCGTTATAAGAGAAGTGGTTAAATCCCGCTATGCGAATAGAGTAGTCCTTAAGTTACCGGTGGCTGGTGTTTACTAGCCACCTTCGGTATAGTCTTTCACTTCCAAATTAGGGACGGTTAACGCAGATAGCCCTCGATAAGCTTTGCGAAATTCGTCAAAGTTTGTTTTCGTTCTTAAGCACAAAGTTGCACCACGGTCTGTCTTGTGCTTTGCCTACCGCGGTATCAAAACCCGAATTTAAGCATTATAAGTCACCGGGGGGGGGGGGTGGAGTCAGAAAAGCAGACGGCCACCTAGTGGTACGATATAGTCTACGTATTCTTCCTTGCCACCATAACATACAAACTTGTATGTGAAGCAGCTTTTATCCTAGCTATCACACCCTTGAAATAAAACAAATTATCATGATGCGTTAAACACACACAATTTGTGTTTATGGAATACTTCTGACTCAGATTGGAAACTTTTTTTTTTTTTTAGTTTGGCTGTGACTGTTTTCCTGAAATATAAACTAAATTAATAAAATTCGCCGTTATCAATTCCCCTTAACATGTAAACCTGTCTCTCAATATCAATGATAGTTCACAGTTAATTTGCATACAGTATCAAACTGACAATCTATCCCGAAATGATTACGATCTGACCAAAGTTAAAAATCCAGTGTTGCTCTGATTATACAACTTTTCATAAAGGAATAAGTCTGGGCTTATGACGCTAAAAATTGGGTTTGAATACTCGTGGTGGGACAACACAAATATTCTATTGTGTGGCTTTGTGCTTAACAACAAAGAAGCATAAAGAAATAAAATGAGCACTGAACCTGACAGTGAAATTCTGTAATTGCTACGTCGCTCGCTGTATTGGCTATCAATTAATATCTTCGTCTATTCAACGCTTACATTCAATTATGGCGGACTGGGACATTTTTATATAACCTTAGTACACATTCTTTTGATCCCGACTAAAATAATTAGATACGTTTATGCCTAGATCCTTGTTGAGACTTACCTATATGTATGAATATTTGTAGGTTAGCTTAGTAACTACAAAAATAAAACGCTGTACTTTGAGGTTTACTTCTATTGTTTTATTGTAGTTCATTATTAAACTAAAAGTTTTTATCCAAGCATCTAACATCTGTCAATTTGCTCGTATATACTTATAGGCATCATTGAAATGGTTTAATCACAAATATAAAGTACAACAACCAACAGCTTTGAGATCTGTATGTTTTGAGAATTTAATCAAAGCCTTTTGGAAGCTTGTTAACCACCTAAGCTTTATGATGTAATTGGAATATACAGTCACGCACTTTGTTTTCTCGCAGAAGCATACAGCCAAAGTAATTATGATTTTTATTTAGTGCACACTAAAACAAAAAAAACGTAATAAATAGAAAATTGAACCTTTAATTTCATATTGTATTTATGATAAAGACGATTAGAATGTAAGGCTTTAAAACCGAATGTTTGGTTTCTTCAATATTAATCAAGCCAAGGGTTTCCCTGAAATGTTTAGTTATTATTTTTGAAGTAAGACCTTCCTCCTCCTCTGAATTGTACAATTATTTTAAATTTGTCAAGAAACATCATTTAAATGAATATTTTTCTTCTTCTTAATTTCGCGTTATATACCAATCTGTATACTATGTATGTCTGTCAACTACAACTAACTGTGTCCTTAGTGATGATCATTCGTAGTAGTGGTGGGAATTTAATCGCTTTAAGGTGTTAACCGTTAACTATATAATTTTCTGAACAAACAGGGTAGTATATATATATATATATATATATATATATATAACAATCATAGAATTTGATACTTAAGTCAGTAACAGAACAAAGACCAACAACTAAGCCTTTAATTAACCAAGTACAGAAGTGCACGAACTAGAACTTTTACTTCGATGACAATATACACGCAGCTAATAGAAGTTTCCACTTCACAAGATCACACTTACTCTGCACGGCAGATTAAAGAGTGAGCTAAATGGGATTGTTTTTATCATTTTTGTCCCGAACCCTGATTAGCACGTATTTTCCATATTCGCAGTTCAAAAGCTAAAAGGATAACGGATCAAACAGTATCAGTCACGTCAAATGCTCTAAGTATACGTATTCTGTGCTAACCATTCTAATGGATGAATTACATGGCAGGTTATAAAAAGATGTAGAAAGACCACAAATAAGAAAAGAAAATTCTCTTCTCTGGATCCCAAGTTACATGTATGTACTATGCAGGTGTTATTAAAGTCGCAAAACCTCGTTTTTCGAATACTAGACTCGGTATTGGTAATCCATTATCTGTGTGGTGATGTAGAAATACTGTGATGTGAATAAAGTTTTCTTGTAGATTTTATGCTGGACTTTAAAGGGGAACTCGGTTACATTATGGATTGATTATGCGGATAAACAGTATATCTTCAACTTGAAAACCTATTATACACATTCATACACACAAAGTATGTAACATTTTATCTATAGATTTGCGGGTTATATGTTAGGCCTATTGTTAATCGAATTCATTTCGTTGTGACAGTAGTTCAGTTTTAAATCATTAGAATAATATATATATATTTGTCTGCACTTATATGATGGGCGTTCAGAAAGTTTTTAATGTGACCCATTTATTGATAGGTCAAGGCAAAACCGGTTTCACAGATCAAACTACTGATATTTTGATGTGTTTCGTTGTTATCAGACATATTTTTTAATCTTTTGAGAATTTGTACAAGGACATGTCGAAGTGACTCGGACATGAAAATTTGAAAAATGGAAAGGAATGAAGTCAAAGTTATGATCAAGTATTTCCATAAGAAAGACTTGATCCCAAAGGAATTCCACGAGGACATTGTGATAACCGTGCAGGAAGATGCTCCTTGATATACCACAGTACAAAAAATGGACAGCTGAATTTGAACGAGGGGCAACTAGGATTGAGGATGAGCCAAGATCAGGATGCCCCAAAGAGATAACCACACCAAAACTAGTTGATGCAGCCCAAAAGATGGTGATTGGTGACAGAAGACAGAAAGAAGATCAACAATCAGATACATAACTGAGACAACGAGCATCGGCAATGGGTAAAATATCCTCCAACTTTACTGAATACTGAAAAATGTGTCAGCAAGATGGGTGCCTAGAATATTGAGTGCTGATCACAGGACGATAGCACTTGACATACCCATGGAACTTTTGAGGCGGTTTCAAGCAGGCCCAGACAAATTGTTACTCAGAATAAGACATCAGTTTACCACTTTTATCCTGTAACAAAAAAGCAGAGCATGCAGTGGAGCAGTGTCTCAAATTCAAGAAGTATCGTCAGTTGGAAAGGCCATGGTCAATTTTCTGGGACAGTGAAATGACGATCATGCTGACTGTCTTTCGAAAAAAAAAAGTATTGTGCTAATGAGCTGTGGTAGTTGCGAGAAGCCGTCGAGTAGTGCTGCTTCTCCAGGGCAAGGCATCACCACACACAGCCTAAGATGCAGTGAACCACAATCAGCCAGAGTTGCTTTGAACTGCTTCTCCAGGGCAAAGCATCACCACACACAGCCTAAGATGCAGTGAACCACAGTCAGCCAGAGTTGCTTTGAACTGCTTCTCCATCCAGCCTGTTAACCAGAGTGAGTTTCCTAAGGTTTCTGCCTGTTCCTTGTATTGGTTTCCTCAGACTTCTTTGTGTTCCCCGTGTTGAAGGAAGAACTTCGTGGAAAGAGTTTTGATGATCTTTTTGAAGTGATTGCAGCGATCGAAAAATTTCTGGACTTGCAAGACAAAGATTTCTACGAGGCGGACATAACCAAGCTGCAGCAGCGCTGGACCACGTGTGTTGGTATCAAGAGGGACTATATTGAGAAATAAATAAATAATTGATGACTTATTCTTTTTTTTTCTCAAGCTAGAAACTTTCTGAACACGTTTCTTACTAAGTTACACAAATGATTGATTCAGTGTTTAATTTTAACCTGTTAAAAGTGGATGTCCTTATTGCGTGGAGTTCATTAGCTGACTTTTCTTGTACCATTCGACATACGTTATCGAGTGTATTATGTTGAATATTAGTTGACTCGGCTTTAAGCTTGAAATGCGTGTTTTGTGGTATAATTATGGTTTTGTGTAGCACAAGAAATAATACTGTATTTATAACGAGAGAGCTTTAAATCAGTTTCTTTCTTTTCCAGACGAGATACCGAATTATCGAGAGGATCTCCTTTATTTCTGGAACGTCACATCAGAAAATAGAATCATTGACAGTGGCGCCACCCGACGTCCTGTATTCCATTTTACACCATTATTTTCAGGAGATCAAAACGTAACTGTGGTCGTCAGAAATCAAGGTACATCTTACATTTAAGAATACAAGTTAATTTCAGTTGTTATTAATGTGTATTTTGTTTTGTTTGCAAATGCTTTATGTATTACGTGCAACGTTTGTTTTAGAACCTCTCTTTATCATCTGAATATATTTAACGTGTTGCTTTTCTCTGTGCGTAGAGAATTTTTCCTCCATGTTATATAAAAACTTTTAATTCTCTCCGTATTCCTTCTCTTTATCCTCATGGGTAATACAAGTAAAAAGTATTTTCCATTTTTATGTCAAAATGAAACTCGAGTGGAACTGGATCGTTTTTTATACGCTTACAGGTGTTGAATAATATATTTGTTAATAGTTCATTTAAACCACAAAACCTTGATATTTTACGCCACAAGTAGATTAGAGGTTTACTGTCTTTTTTTATTGATTTTTCTCCAGTTTCATAGTAATTTTTAAATTTACGTTTGCGAAAGATCTTGTACCATTTACAGGAAATTTTAGCTAGTATAACCTGGGTACCAAGTGCATTTGTTGTTCACGGTCATCATTCACTGTCATCAGTTTGTTTATGAATACGATAACTATTCTGCCAACACAAAAAGTTAGTCATCTAAAACGAAACGTAGATAAAATTGAACACCATCTTAATTTTAAAAATCAGATATCAGAGACATTTAGCAATTATCCAGTGTACAACTAATATTAATCACGAGATGTTAACAGTTGTGAAGGGTAAAGGACGACCATAACAGTCGCATGCATTATTTCCACGAAAGGAGCCAAAGGCCGCCTAGAGGAGTCACCAGTTTTACCCACTCGCACCACTACACATAAGGGAACCTTAACGTTGCAATTTGTGCTGTCGTGATGTCAGTAAAACGTGCGTTTGCCATGAATCACGAGAAGAATTATGCGCTCTGTAGCTAACAACATATCAACTTGAAAAGCAAGGAATAAAAATATTTGTTATACTTAATTTTGGTTCTATTTACTCTTGAAACAGAATACTTTCGAGGACCCTGCGGAAGCATTAGGTCGTCAAGAAATTAATGTCGCTTTTTTTAGATGAAAAAACTCGAACAACTTGTATAT